GGTGGCAGAGCATGGCCCAGGCTGCCCAGAGAGGTTGTGGAGTCTCCTTGTGTGGAGACACCCAAAGCCCTGGCCGTGTTCCTGTGTGACTGCTCTGGTGATCCTGCTGTGGCAGGGCTTGCACTAGGGGAGCTCCAGAGGGCCCTTCCAATTCCTAACGTGCTGTGATTCTGTGATTCAGTCATGGTTGCAAAGTTCAGGTTTCCCAAGTGCCAGGGGTCCAGGCAGCCCAAAGACAGGAGCAGGCAGCGCTCAACCCAGCTCTGTCCTGTGCACTCCCTGCTGCGCTCACAGCCACAGCACCCACGCAAGGTAAACACGTCAGGAGCCTCTGCTCCCAGCTCTGGTACCCGAGCAGGGCAGGAGCAGCCCACAGGCTTGGCCATTTGTCTGTGCAGTCACAGGCGGCTCAGAGCCACCACAGCACATCCAGATGCAGGGCAGCTGCATGGGGCTGCTCCCAACCCGTCAGCCCCATCTGGAAAAAGCCTCCTGCCCCATCACTGTCCTCCACACACCCTGTGACAGGAGCAGCTTTAGCCAGAGCTGTAAATCCTTGCTCCGGCCAAGCTCCTCGCATGCCATGCTTGGCCTGACCTGCCCATTCCCTGCCGCCGCTCTGCTTTTAGCTGCTCCATTCCCCAACTCTGCACAGGACAAACTGATTTCGGTCCAGATGACGTTCTGAGCCGTCTAATCCAGTTTCCTCCCTCCCAGTCCCCAGCACAGGGACTCCCTCCCGTGGTGAGGCTCGGGGACTGTCCACACAGAAGGACTTTGGGCTCTGAAGCTGAAACGCTGCTGCTGTGCTCTAAGAAACCAGCAAGGCTCCAGGACCCATCTAAGAAATTCAGCTCCAGCTGCTGCAGCGCGACATCCACCACCTGCACCCCAGCGCTCCCTCTGCTTCATCCACAACGTGTGCTGTCAGCTCTGGACTTTTATTGTGTCCCTCAGATGCGATGTTCAGAAGCCACCTGGGCAGCAACAACCCCTGTGGCACCTCCACCACGCTCCCACTGCAGGATCAACTCATCCGAGCTCCCAGGCAGTGCTCCAGGGCCCACCGGCCTCGCTGGCAGCGCGGGCACAGGCAGGATGCTGGCACAGTGTGTCCTGCTCTGCTGGCTACTCCACAACGTCCCCATACTTGTTCCTCCTCACCAGCGGTGCCGTGCTCTCTCTGTCTTCTGGGCTGGGCAGATTTTCTACAACAGAAACAACAAACTCCCTGGACTCCTGGTGCGTTTGCCAGAGGCGGATAGAACAGAGAGCCCTGGTGATTGCTGCAGCAGGGAAGAACCAGGCAGGACAAGCCCAGGGAAAGCAGCAGGGAGAGATGTGAACGTACCTATGGGCTGAGATGCCCCACTAGCCACAGCGAGCTCCTGCGGGGTCTTGCCTGTCTCCAGGTAAATCCAGAAGTCGGAGCATTTCTGCGTCTCAGCTCTGGTCACCACGTAGCTGGCGAGGGACCCTGCAGCTGTAGAGACCAAGATGCTCCCCAGAGCACAGGCATTCGCCGAGGGCAGCAGTGGGGAAAGCACCGGTTTGTGGGCTGCTGCAGCTGTCTGCCAGCTGGCCCTGAGCCCCCAGGGCCACGGGGAGCGGGGATGTGACGGGAACCAAGGGAGAAAATCCCC